AGGTCTGAGGCTACGGATTTTTCTTCCCCAAACAGAAGAAACTTGCTTCCAAATATGAGTCAAGGTTGGTTTTAATGTGGTTTTTTTTCCCCCCCATCTGAGCTCTGATTCCGTCCTGTTCCTAAGAAATGTCTTTAAATTCCTGTTCTTGTTGGCCCCTCCCCAGGGCCTCGAATATAGGAGCCCTGCAGGCATCTCTGTGGAATTTCTCATTTTCTGTGAGAAAAGCTGCCTCTTTTCTCCATGCCTCCACCATTAACAAAAGACAATACAAAAGATTTCTTTACTTTTAATATTTCCATTGGCTTAGAATAGCAAGTTTTTGGATTCGACTCCCCCTAATTTAGGAAAGAGATGTAGGAATTCCCCCTCCCACCCCCCAAGGTTCAATTTTCAGTAATGTGAGCCTAAAGATTTATAAAATAGATTTATATTAAATTATGTTAATAGAAGCCTAGTAAATGCACCATTTAATTGCATGGAAAAATGTTCCCTTTTAAGAGGTCTGTCACCTTAACAGGTACATACAAAGATTCCCTGTGAATAATGAAAATAGAAACAATTGCTTTGATGCACTGAGCTGCATTCATGTTTAGGAGGTGTTAGGCTGTGTTTGGAGAGGATAGGAGGCACTCCTTTTAAATCAGGGATTGCTCCTTTAAACCAAATTTCTTCTGTTGGAAGTGTCATTCTCCTCCCCTCACACCCTTAAGGTCTGGCCTAAGATCCAACCCATTGCTCTCTCTAGTCTCCCCTCAATGTTCAGCTTTTTATTTCTTCCCCCAACCCAACTCTGAGCACCTTTCCACCTCCCTCCAAAAAATCTCCCAAGAAGTACCATGAAAAATGAGTGGAACCTGCAGGAAAGGTATAAATGGGGTGGGGGGAAAAGGAAACCTGGTAAAAATAACTCTTAGCTTTTAAAAAATATATATTTTTATTGTTGATAGTATTACAGATATTTCCCATTTTACCTCCCCCCCCTTTACTCCCCTCCTCCCAGCCCTTACCCAGGTCTTCACTACCCTATTGCCTGCATCCATAGGCTATGCATATAAGTATATAAGTTCTTTGGCTTATCTCTTCTCATCCCCCCAACCCCACATGGAGATGTGTCAGTCTGTTCCACGCTTCCATGCCTTGGGTCCTATTTTGTTGGTCAATTCATTTTGTTCATTAGATTCCACAAATAAATGAGATCATGTGATATTTGTCTTTCTCAGATAATTCTTCTCTTTTTGTTTATTTTTTATTTTTTTAAATATATTTTATTGAGTTTTTTACAGAGAGGAAGGGAGAGGGATAGAGAGCCAGAAACAATGGTGAGAGGGAAATATTGATCAGCCGCCTCCTGCACACTCCCCACTGGGGATGTGCCCGCAACCAAGGTACATGCCCTTGACCAGAATCGAACCCAGGACCCTTCAGTCCGCAGGCCGACGCTCTATCCACTGAGCCAAACCGGTCAGGGCAATTCTTCTCTTTATATAACATGACCACCACCAATGAAGTTATTTTTCTCTCACATACACATATACATATGCACACATACACTCACACAACCATGTACATGCATGTACATACACCTATACACACAGACCCTGTTGCCCTCTGTGACCTCTTTTAGCTAGAGCAATCACCTTTCTGGCAATTCCCTGACCACAGTCAGGGTGAACCAAACAAACTACATTTCTAGTCCAGATCAGATTTAAAAGGGTAGAATTGGTGGGGAGTAGGAATGAGGGGAGGAGGAAGGAAGCCAGAAATCAAAGACTTGACATCCCAAGTTTTTCTTTCTCCTAAAATATTCTTAGATGTCCTTGGAGGAATGAGGTGGGTGGGAACTAAGCTGTGATGACCACTTCAGAATAAGGGGAGAGGGTCTATCTTCACCAGTGTCTCTATCACCTGGGCCCAGGGCACCCTAGGATGGGCTGCTGGGTGAGACCAAGAAGCATGGCTGAGTGGGCTTGGCCTTGGGTGTGTGTTGGTCACTGAGTGGGTGGGTGAAAGGGAAATGTCTCTGCTCCTCCTGTTTTCTCTGAATGTCTAGACTGGCTCAGGACACTAGGGCAGGAAGTCATCCTTCCTGCTCTCCATCCCCTACCCTCCAACTCCTTTCCTGTTTAAAGCTACCACAGGACTTGTTCTCCAGGAGGCGGACTCAACCACACTAATGGCTCCTGCTGCTCACTTCTTCTCTCTTAGTGGAGCAAGGTCCTGCTTTCTCATTCTCATTCTCTTTCTCTCTTTCCATTATGTGTCTATAGGCCTCTGAAACACAGGGGCCCAGTCCTGTTTCTCAAGAGGGGGCAGTGAAAACTGGCATCTAGTGCTTTTCAGGTAGCACAGTTGTCCAGGTGACCCCACATTTCTTAAACAGTCTTTTTTTAAAAATATATTTTATTGATTTTTTACAGAGAGGAAGGGAGAGGGATAGAGAGTTAGAAACATCTATGAGAGAGAAACATCGATCAGCTGCCTCCTGCACACCCCCTACTGGGGATGTGCCTGCAACCAAGGTACATGCCCTTGACCGGAATCGAACCTGGGACCCTTGAGTCCGCAGGCCGACGCTCTATCCACTGAGCCAAACCGGTCGGGGCTTAAACAGTCTTTAATAAACCTGGAGACACTTCCCTGGGCGTGTTTCATATCAAGATTGGTTAGCGGAGCATCTGTGTGTCTGAGTGTTGGCCTAAGTATTCTTAACCTGAGGAGAAACTGCAGGCCTTTAAAAGCAGACAGATTTCCAACGCCTTATTCTGATTTGCAAACTTCAAAAACATCAACTGATTAGGGGGCGGATGGAAAATCCACCCTAGTGTACAAGGAGACCTCAGGCTTCACTCTGAACGTGATCAGAAGGTCGGTTGGCAGGGAATGTCCTAGGACAAATAGGATACCCCTACC